CGTAGGGGAAGAACAAAAAGGGAAAAGAAAAAAATGTGAGAGAATGAAAAGATGAAAATAAAGTGTTTGTAGATGGGGAGGGGAGGAGGGGGTGAGGGGAGGGCAGAGGTAAGGGGAAAAAATGAGAATCAAGACTTGCCATGTAAAGGTACATGATCCCAACAATGAATGTAACTGTACTGTATCCCTAAAATGTACCAATAAACTCAATAAAATTAATTAAAAAAAAGTTGTATACATGTCAAAATTATCATTATTTCTCATGGTAATATTTATTTATGTATTTATTTATTCATTCATTTCTTTTGCTGATGCTGGTGGAATGTTAATATCCATTTGTAGGGTAAAAATGTAGATCTCATTCTATTCCTTTTACCAACATTGATTTAAAAACACATGAATTTCCTCTACCTCTATTAAAAAGTCTCTTTATAATTATTTTTAAAACTTTAAAAACAGGCAAAAGCATTAACCAAATTGAAAATCTTGGAATGTTGACCAAAAGAATAAAAATTTTTTGGAGTACACAAAGTAGATAGGCCCAGAAAAACAGCACCAACTTATAAAGCTCCATGAAAAGTAAATCTGAAGTCAGAGGCAGTGTTGGCTGGAAAAGTTAGTGAATTATGGCCACCATCTGGAGACATAACTCAAAAAAATTTCAACCAGTTCATGATGACTAATTCCTGAATTGCTCTTAGGCAAAAAATGTGAGTTCTCCAAATGGATCTGAATTGTCACATAGAATAGAAAATTGTTAATTGATTGCATGAATTGAGGAATCAAGATATTGCTAGAAGTAGTTTAGAAAGAAGATGAGGTACTAGAAATCACCACTCCAGAGAAAATACGACCAGCACTCATGCATTACACACAGAGAGATGGGAAGAGAGAGAGGGAGGGAGAGAGAAAGAGAGAGAAGAAACAGTTTCTTTTTATTGATCAAACATATCAACCAAAACTAGACCTTTAGTCTAGTGTCAGAGAAAAATGCATGCCAAAACTCATTTTTTAAAAAAATTAAAAAGGAAATGGAATCAAGAGAGATGAATGAGGAGATGAGTAAAGGAATTGAGATGTATTATATAAAGGTACCATTCCCCACAATGTTAGTGACCATTACACACTACAAATATATATTTAAAAATAAAAGAAACAATTTTACTTATGGAGAAGTAGCATAATTATAGTTATGAAAACATTTCTTCTGCTAAAGAAACAATTTTAAGTACAGCCTAGCATAAATGTTCAATTTACCAAAACTGACTGATACATACACTTGTATACAAAGTGAACTGTATTGTTTCAGGAAACCAAAATTATGAGTCAAATATAACCAACAAAATTACTATATTCAAAAAACATACAATAGATAACACACACACAATAATAATGATAAGTATCCACAAAGAAATCTGATAGAATTTGCCATCTTTAAAAAGATTGTCATTAAGAAAAGTATTCAAAAGGCTAGGTGTGGTGGTGCATGTCTATAATTGAAGCACTTGGGAGGCTGAGGCAGGAAGATCGCTGCGAGTTCAAGACCAGCTTGGGCTACATAGTGAGTTCCAGGTTAGTCTCAACTACATAGTGATACCCTGTTTCAAAAAATTTAAAAAAAAAATTTTTAAGTATTCAGAGTAGTTAGAAGGAAAAAAATTATTGTTATTTATATATATAAAAAGACTAATAATAGTATGTTATGCATCGATAGCAGCAACAGCTTTTCCAGGTTCTGCAGTCATCTGAACAAAATTGACATTCAGCACATTCCATTAAAAAAAACAAACAAAAAACCAAAGAAAAGAATAATATCCAGACAACAGCAAAGTTCTGTTGCTGTTGTGGTACCTGGCACCATTTTTTCTATTAGCCTCTTAATCATCATCTGGAAAGAGAACATTCTAGAGTAATATCATTATATGTAGCTCTGATAAAGCATGGTCCCTACTATGTATCATAAAGCAGGTACTAGATATTTTACATTCATAGAGGTATGATACAGTACTGTCCTACATCAATAATACTAGATTCAGTTTTGGTTTGAAATTTACTTTGACGGCAAATAAGATTGTTACCCCTATTTTTTTCTGGGCTCCTGTCATGGAGAATTGTTTTCTATCTTTTCACTTTCAGTCTATGGGCTTCTTTTTGCACTAGGTGTGTTTCTTGTATACAACATATTATTGGATTTTCCTTCTTATTCCATTTTGCCAGTCTATTTTTCTTGATTGGTGAGATGAGGCCATTGACTTTGCTGGTTATAACTGATATATACTGACTTATTATTGACATGTTATTGGCCTTTTGTTGACTCTTTTTACTTTTCACCTTCTCCTTTTAATTTCTTGCCTTGCCTATTTGATTTGCTCTGTTGGGCCTCATGCTGCTGTGACCTTCATTGTCTTTCTCTAGGATCTTGTTCAGAATTGCTTGTAGTGCTGGTTTGGTATTTATGTAGTTTCTCAGGTGTTCTTTGCCGTGGAAGTGTCTTATTTCCCCCTCCATTTTGAAAGATAGTTTTGCTGGATACATCAGTCTAGGTTGGAGGTTGTTCTCTTTTAGTGCTTGAAATATCTCATTCCAGGCTCTCCTTGCCCCAAGGGTTTCTTCCTTTTCACATGAGCCTTGACAGTGCGACAGTACAGGCAGAGAATGTGTCTTCACCTAAAGTTTCCACACCTCCCAGAAGCTCAAGAGAATGATTTGAAAAAAATCCTGATATTTAAAGACAAAGTCCTAAAAATGATGACAATGGTTTTCTTTTCCCCAAGGGATGGGGATGTTAACATTAGCATAGCACTGCTTTGATGAACCCCCAGTCCTACAGTGTGGCAAGCCTGTGACATGTGACTCAGCACAAAGGCCTATATCAAGTTTAATAAGGCCAATTTCTACAGATCATTATTCTATGTCTGCCCCAAACTAGAATGTAATAAATAGTATTATAATAGTTATGAAATCCCTTAAAATGCATTACTTCTTAGATTTCTTGTTAAGTTCAAGAGCTTTGATATAGGAGGAAAAGCCCTAGAATACATTGTTCTTAAAATAAGCTATTAATATATGAGACTAGATATATAAATTCTTCAAAGTACAAATATTTATTGTTTAGATAATTTTTAACCTGGGTTTCTCAAGTTTTAAAGCTGCTACTATTTTCCATTGGGCCAAGAGCCTACAATTATTTTTAAATAATTGTTGAATGGCATGGTAGGAATTTCAGTGTGATAAAATTGTAGCAAAAGAAATTGTGCTGCTGTTGGGATAACCATTTGAATACAAGCAGGAAAGTCCCAATTGTGCAGTTCAAAATTTTCAGCTGCAGGTGCAAGGAATAGAGGGTTTTTCTATGCAAAAAGAATTTCTGCAGCACAGAAAAATAGAAGAATAAAATCATAGCTGGCGCTATCACTGACTACTGAGATGGCTAAAGTGAAGCTCCCAACCTAAAGGACCTCTGTTGCATGACATCTTAATGAAAGATTCACAGTTGGATAGGACCTGAAGGTCATCAGGCCAGGCCCCAGCCCAGTTCCAGAATGCCTTATCCTGTGTCCCTGACAGATGGCCTACCCAACTCCAGCCAGAGTCTAATGCCTCAGAAAATAATCTTGCTCAATTTAAAAAGTATTTAGACATTATAAGGTTTTAACTTTGTATCAAAATTTCTATCAATAGAGCCCTTAGTTTGTTGATCTTAGTTTTTCCATATACTACACATTTCCTTCTTCAGGATAACTTTTCATATATTTTGTTATTGTTTACTAAGATTTCCCTTCTTTGGAGTAAACATTCCCAGTTTTTAAAACTATTTCCTGTTTGGCATATTTCCCAGAATTTCTACAATCTTTATCTCATTTGCTAAACAATTTGGCCTTTCTAAAACCTGTTTTAAAATCATAGCTGAACACTGTACTCTGAAGTAACTTGACTAGTGAAAAAGTGATGAAATTATTCATTCCTATAGTTCCAATTATGAAGAAATATTAATCAGGCTACAGGTGAAATAGAAGGGCCTGTTACAATTTTAGTCATGGTTCATGTTAACTTATGAGAAAAGAAAGAAAGAAAAATCTTTTGCACAGAAAATGATTCCAACTGCAATTGATTTTTAAAACATATGTTTACACTGTAAGGTTAAATTTCACGCATTCCATTCATACTTGGCCTAAAAATGATAAAATGTTTTGACTTAAATTTAAATAACAAATGTCCAGGAGCATATGAAAAAATTACAAACTTATGATTAACAAAACAAACTTAAAACTGTCTTTCTGCTTGGAAATTCTAAATATGATGAATATATTGAAGTTGCTGCAAAATTTTTATTAAATGATTGCCCTTCCTGCAATATTCTCTGTGGAATTTTTAAGCAATTTAACAAAGTGCTGCTAAAGTTCATTGAAAGAATACATAGCTAGAAATAAGGCATTTTACAAAAAACAAATGAGATATTGGGACACAAGGTAAAACAACAAAAATTTTAAAATGAACCTGCATCTATGGAACACTGAAATCAGAATTCTTTGGAGACAATCCATTGTATTAAAATTAAAATTAAACATTTTTCAGCACAAACTAGTGGAAAGAGTATTAATGTAAAAAGATCCTTCATTCATTTTTTGTGGAACTATAAAATTGGCACAGCCTTTGTAGAGAAACTTTTGGCAATAATTAGGAAATATTTTTTAAAATATTCTATATTTTAGTATTTCCCATATAGAAACCTTGAATTGGCCTAAAAGCAGCATAAAATAGGTTATTTATGCAGAATATGTATGTATATATTTGTATATATTACAAAATACATGTGTATATATTTGTGTGTGTGCACAAACAAGAAGAAATTTAAATGTTACATACTATATACTAATAAAGCGCTGACTTCTATAAGAAGAAACCGTCCAGGTACAGTGTTTGAAATAGAAAAGTAATTTATTTTCTACATAAAATGAAAAGCAAGTGTTTACAGTTAGTGATGGCACTGCACTACTTACTGATTCAAGAACTCAGGACGTAAGTTTCTTCTAGCTTGTGACTGCCGTTTCTAAGTCATGATCTCTACTGAAGCTGGCCAGTCTCTTTCCCACAGAAAAGCAGAAGCCCTTACAGTGACTTCATATGAGGCACTGTGTGTCTGACTTTTGCTCACATTTCATTTTCAGGGATTCATCCACACACCCTGCATAGCATGTAGTGATTCAGGGAAGAATGGCTGAGCGAGATGCTCTGGAAAGGAAATTATGTCTGGTAAGAACTCAGTTGCAGCTACCATAGCTTCTTCCTAATTTGTACCTTTTTGTCCATGCAGATAATATACTTACCCTCTCCTCAGAGGATGCAACCAAGATACCCATCTCAAAGCCTAGCAACTCTAAATGAGGGGCAGATCTACAAAGAGGTTCCTGTAGTTCCTGTGACCTAAGAAATAGAAGAACCAATTAAGTATTCATTGCTCCACAGATAAAACAACTGCAGGGATAAAAGAAACATCACTTAAACTTTGGAGAGAGAAACAGGAAAATTGCTACTCTATTGCAAATATGAAATATTCCTGAGCAGACTTTTGCAGGGCCCAGAGATTACCCCAATGCTTATATAGTAAATTGACTGATCGATTTTCTTTTTGTCCTGGTTCATCTTCCTCCAACAAGTGCTTAATAAGTTTCTTTTCCTTCACTTTCTAGTCATTTCTGTGAACTACCACATCCAAAATGCTTTTCTAGATGCCATGTTTCTCTCTCAACTTTGTTGTTGCTACTCAGGGCCACCTAAGGAAAAAATGAAGAACAAACATGGTCCGGAAAATAATAATATCCTCAGTCTGATCTTTGCCATGGTTCTGATTCATTTTGTTCAATAAAGAAATCTCTTGGGCCTGCTGCTCAAAACCTCTCCCAGTTTTCTTCACTACCTGGGAGGCAATGACTTTGCAATTTTGTAAACCTTTCATCTTCAGAATCTCTCCAGCCTTAGGATCTCTCCTTCTGCACTAATCTAAACCTATTTCTATCTCAGCAACTTTCAGAGCTTATGTTTTACTTTTTGTGGTCTTTTTAGAAAGAATTCCCTATAGTTAATACTGTATTAGTTGAGCTCCATTCCTTGTAGTTAAAGGCTACTATGATTGCTTCCTGCCATACTGTTTTCATGCCCACTCCATTACAATGTTTATTGTTGTTCCAAAATTTGGTTTGACTTTTTGTCTTGAGCCAAAAGTAAATCAAAGATAGAAAATGTTCAAATGAAAAAACAAAATTTCAAGTGATTAGGTAATTTTGTTTCTGGTTTCTTTTTTTCTAGTTGTATTATAGTTTGCTTATGTTATTATTTTAATTTTTAAATATATTTATACTTTAATTTGTGGTGTTGTATAAGTTCATGATTTTTATAAGTGTTGTAAGAGCCTTTGAAAATAGATGTATTCTGTGTGATGATATTTCATTTACAAGTTTTTTCTTTCCTTTAGATTATTTCAATTGATTGATCTCCAATTTTTTCAGAAAAATTTACCACTACTATGTTCAGTAATTATTATATAATTATACTTTCATTTCCTTTACATCTATGTAACTTGCACCTGTTTAAAAATTTTGAGGTCCCCCTATATTGCTACAATAATAAATAAGAAAAACTGGCTGTAGTGATCTGATTGGATATTTGCATATTTTTTATCTTTGAAGTCTAGAAACCTTATCATAACATAAATCCTTAGCTGTGTCTATTACTTTCTGTCCAATATTTATCTCATTAGTCCTTTTTTTGGTAAAAGTACCCAGTTTACTTCTCTCAGAACTGCCTTCTGTAGCTTTAAATCTAATTTCAAAAATATTTTTCTATATCCATTTCTTTAATTTCTAGGGTGGTTTTCTTACTTTCCATCATTACCTAATTACTTAAGCTTCTTTTAGGCTATATTTTCTTATCACTTCATCATTTTCTTTCTTCTTCAGTGATTTCATTGAAATAGTTCACTTATTTTATTTTTAGTTATGTAAAAAAATGTTCTGTCCAAGTTTTTCTTCTGTTGCCTGGTGTCTCCGTGTTTCTTGATGCCATTTTGCTTATTTGAAGTATTCTCTCCTTTTTTCTTGTTTTCTTATTTAAAATCCTCCCACTCCCGCAGATCTGTTATTTCCTCTGTTGTTCCTCCGTAAATGAACATACTATCACCTAAAGTCACTATTTGTGTGAGAGAGCTAGAGTGGACTCTTTCTCGGCCCATTATTTACAGCTATCCAAGAACAAGTGGAGCTAGTGCGTTAGAGAAAAACTGAACAGCTCCAGTTGAATGATTTAGAGTAAGGACATGTGTTCTGGCAAATCTAGGATTTCAGCCATAGTTCCCTACCAACTGCTCTCTCTGGGGACAACCACACCTCTTAGCACCACTGCTTAAAGTGAAGAAATGCACTTCCTTTTCTGTTTTGGTTGTGTGATATGCTAGCTTTCCTGTGTTCGAAACTTCGTTCACTAACTGCAAAGTTGATTACCACTTCGATGCTTCCCTGAACCTTTTGCATCACAAGTCTTGACCATTTTTGTCTAGCTATAAGCAGTGAAAATTAGCCCTTCCTCATTAAACTGCCTTCCTTGCAGGCCTGTAGTAAGGAACTGAATGCTATGACTTGCCCACTCCTCAATTCTCACCTGCTCAAATAAAGACTTCTTGATTAGGGGCTTTTAGAATTGTTCATTATATTTAAAGAAATTTACCATAGAAATATGTTTGTTAGTTCTTAATGTCTTTCATTTAGAAGCAGCTTTTCAATTTTTCAAAAAGGTAATATACAGTCTGATGACATAGTTACTCACTCTATTATGGTTGAGTTTTATTTGGTTTTGGTCATTTCAATAATTGCAGATATAAATTTATCCAAAAATAATTTTTTTCTCTTCTTTTACCAGAAGTACATGGTGTGATTTTTGACATTTTGCCTCTCTAAAAATACTTTTTCATGGCTCTCATATGTGAAAGATTACTTAGATGAATACCATATTCTTGAAACATTTGTACTTTGTGTTGCTCATTGTTTCAGAGTTTCTAAATTTTATAAAATCTGAAGTTAGTCTTAGTTTTGCTCTCTCTTTATACATAAGCTGGGGTATTTGGTAGTTTTTCCTTTCTTTCTTCTTATGTATTTTTTAAAGAGTCTTACTATATAGTCCAGGTGGCCTTGAACAAATTACGTAGCCCATGTTGGCCTCAAATTTATGGCGATCCTCCTACCTTCCAAGTGCTGGGATTATAGGAATGTGCCACCACTCCTGGTTTGGTGTGTTTTATTTTGTTTTGCTTGTTTTTTGACTTGGGTGCTTTATATTGAAGACTTAGAACAACAGAAGGAAATATATCTGTTTCAGGCATCATATTTCAGCAGTTCCATAAAACAGAAGCATTAACTAGTTTTGCTACCACCTCAATGAAATACTTTTGAAATCATATCTTCTACACCCATTGCCCTTTCTCACTCTTGCTTACTGAGAGGGGGCCATGGAAGACTGATGAGAGCTTGGTAATCTTTGTTTCATTTTTGGGTGGGAAAAATATATGGAAGATCATTGCTCACCTGAGATCGTATTGCAAAAGAACTACTGTTTTTGCTCTCTTGTTGATATACCTAAAAATGTGAAATTTGCTCTCAAAATTTCCTTACTATTTGGTAATTTTACCAGGAAAGGCCCTACTTCTTGAAAGAAAAATTTCTGTCTCCAGCTGCCCACATCTGAGTGAATAAGTTCATTTTGAAAGTAAGTTGTAAAATACCCAATGAGAGTGCAAGCTGTTTTCTCCAATCAACAAACCATTTGGCACTATATTCCAATTTCCAATTTGCTATTATATCTATTTTGATTAGTTAGGAAATCAAGGATAGGCACCAATATGAGTAATAAGCTCCAATAATCCTCCCACGAAGGTAAATCTATTTTGTATTTGTTATTTTTTCCCTAGTTCCTGGTAAATTCTTTTTCTCTGTACATGAGAAATGTATATATGTATGTATATATATTCTTTTTAAAAGAAAAAAGTATTAGAAAAATGAATAAGTCCAGATGGAGAATGGCACATCCTCATTCACTTTCTTCTCTTTAGTTTTATTTGTGTATTTTATTAATTTGTGCGACACAAAGCCAGGTTCCACACCCTGCATAACAGTTCTTTCCTAGAGGAGTGATAGCTCTGTCCCATCTAAGGCCAAATTTATTTTGTGAAAGGACTGCATTAGGGCAACTAACCTGACTTGTTTCCACAATAGCTGTGCTATCTCTTGCAATATCCTGCCACCATGACTTTTAGATCACTTAATGGGGCTACCACATATTAACTTGATCAATTGGTCATCTTTCTGGACCTATTAATATTACTATTGAAAGTTTTGCTTGTTACTGTCACCTGTGATATAGGATCTGATGAATAGGTTGGCTAAGTGTCTTTCCTTAGCCTGGTTTAGCCTGTGTCTGAACAAAACTAATAAAAGTCACTAGCAATTTGGTGAATCCTGTGGTTTAAATCATACATACAAGTTCTCTCTTACCTTATGTGTTAGTGAAGAAAAGGAAATAATAAACCATCCATATGTCCCCTGTATTCCATTATTTCTAACAATTCTTGATCTACAAACTTTTGAAATTGTAAGGATATAGATCTCAGGAACTTTAGAAAGATAAAAAATGTGACAACAAGATCTTTCATACAGCAAATGTACCCTTTGATTTCTCTGCCTGCCTATATTCAAACCTTTTGATATGATTATAAGGCTATAGGAAAGTAAAATGTGCTCTTCTTATCAACATAAAACTGAATCTATTTGTCTTTATAGAAAACATATCCTAGTGAATTAAAGGAATCTGTATACTAATTTCTAGAGAGGAAAGCAGGGAGGGAAGAAAGGAAGGTTAAATGGATTACCTATCAGGGGATATTATATTATTTCATTTCCTCTTATTAAAAAAGAAGAGGGTAGGGTCACTATCCTTTCAAAAAATATGATAAACTTCTATAAGCACCACCATTTTGTGTCTTTTTCTTCAGTTAAATGCAAACTAATATTTATTTTACTAATCTTCTGACAGTTCTCTAAACTTGAATAGAATTCATGCTGTCAGTAATTAACTTTGATTATATAGTTTCATCCCAATATAGCCCACGGGTTCTGAAGGCCAGAGATATAATAAGTCATTTAATTAAGTGATACCGGATACTATATCGTGAAACAGGTAGTGCCGAGACACAAAGAAAATATGAAGTAAGCTTTGGTTTAATAAGTTTTACTAATCAGACATAAGTATTTATACAGAGAATGTGAAAGCACAGCAAAATAGGAACAAAAGCTAAAGTCATTATTTTTAGTAATCCATTACACAAGGCTAAGAATGTATTGTCCATATTTTCAGATTATAATAAATTAGTTACAATAAGC